CTCTCCACATGGGCAAAACGAGAGTGAATCTTCCGCCACAACATGGACAGATGCATACACCGCCACGATTTTTGTCTTTTGTGCATGTCGAGAAAAAGCGGAGGTCGGCCCCTAAGCATCGAATCCAGATGCACATTTGCACATTTGCCCCTAAGCCGATGGCTCCAAATGTGCAAATGTGGCTGAGGGCTTCGCTCCACAACTAAAGGTAGTCTCGACATTCTCAAAAGACAGAAATTGTGGCAATATATCTTTCCGTGTTCTGGCGGCGGATTCAGTCTCGTTTCGCACACTTGGAGAGTAGTGGAGCGAGGCCCTGGATCCTCCGAGATAGAAGGAAGCTCGGATCCGACCCGACCTAATAATGGCAGCGGGCCTCGCTCCACGACTCTCCAGACGTGCAAAATGTGACTGAATCCTCCCCCAGAACACGGAAAGGTACATTGCCCTATCTATTTTATTTTATTTTCAAAACTTTTTCTTCGCAAAACTAAGCTTTATTCTTCTTTCAACTTCACCTCCCACTGTCAGCTTTATTCTTCTTCACGTTGCACTGTCTACCTACCACCCCTCCTAAAAACCTATGCAGGGGACCTCTGCAAGCATAGTGTTTTTTTTTTTTTTTTTTTTTTAACCCTGCAGACATATCTACCTCTCACAATTAACTTCAATTAAGGGAATGCATTTTATTTTATTTTTTTCCTCCCTGCAAGCACAGCTATCTCTCACAATTAAGGGAATGCATGTTGGCCCCTGCCCCGATCGGCGGTGGTCAGGGAGTAGTTGGGGCCCCGATCAGCGGCTAAGGGGAAGATGGACGATTTTGCCAGTAGCTGCACCTCCCATCTACTTCCCCCCCCCCCCCTCCTCCCCGTAGAGTACCAGCGCTGGCTATGGTCAACACTCTCTCGTACACAACACACCACCCGCTCACGCTCGCACTCTCTCATTGGTGTCGGTCACGAACCCTTCTAATACCGATCAGAGGTGGTGTATCAAGCGGACTACTGTAGCACAGCCGATTGGCGCTAAGTGGGCGCTGGAGGCGATCATGGGACTCAGCCGATTCTTTGTTCTTTTCTCCGGTCCCGCCTCGGTCGCTGCGCCTACAAGCTGCTCCAAGCGGGGTCCGCTTGTTCTTTTTTTTTTTTTTTTTTCCGTGAAACTGGTCTATTTATTCTGGTTTCTTTTCCCCTTCTCCCTTCCTGTCTGGCCTCCCGATCTCTCATTAGTTAGTTGCTGAATATGAAAAGCTATAAATAGAATCCGACAAGATCTACTAATGTTGATTAGTTAGTTGATTAGTTAGTTGATTAGTTAGTTGATTAGTCAGTTGATTAGTCAGTTGATTAGTCCGTTGATTAGAACTAGTTGATTAGTTCATTAGTTAGTTGATTAGTCCGTTGATTAGTCCGTTGATTAGTCCGTTGATTAGAACTAGTTGATTATTTGATTAGTTAGTTGA